AAAACATATCAAAGATTGGTTCAGTTCAACGAGAAGTTGTTTGCACTGAACAGACTCACAGATTGTGTTCATTCAATTTGATGATGTTGTTCCATTTTACTTCTTTATTTCTCTGTCATTCTTAGATGTTTTGAATGTGGACTTTCTAAATATTTTTGGGATGTTTTTTTTTTTGTGTGTGTCATTTCTCATTTTTGTGTCCAAGAAGATTGTGAAGTCAATAAATATTTTTATGGTACATTGTCACATCTCCTAAATGTTTACCCTCGCTTGACATTATAAATGAGCCACTGTTTATTCAAAAAACACTGCACAGAGGGAGGATAAATACTGATTTTAGCTTTAAGAACTGCGCCTCAATATTAAGCAAATAGAATCAGTTTGAGTTTACAAACTGATACATAGAGTGTGCTGATATTTTAGTAGCTGTGTGAATCCTAGAGACAGTAGCACAGCCAGATGTGATCAAGAATACGCTGTGTGACTGCTCTTATTTAAAAGGCCTTCCATTTGAATTCCTGCTTGCATTCACACCTTGTCACCTATAAAGTGGGAACGAGTGGTGAATGCCAGCAATGTGTAACCAGAGAAGAAGCAAGCCATCCCAGCTATGCACCAAATGTTGCTGTGTTATTGATCTGATAATTAGATTATGTGCTAAGGTATGCCAGTCTGGGCCACTGTCACAATTTAGTGGCTGTTATGTGTGACCCCCGCTAGAGAGCAGCCAACTATGTGATTGGCTCTAAGCTGAGGAAACATGTAGAGTAATGAAATTAGAAGAGTTTACCAGGGATAGCGTTCCTCTCAGTTTCCCATGCCAAGCATCTTACTGCCTTTTCACACTAGTATTGTCACTGGGCCTGAGGGTTTCCTTTTCACACTGCATCCTCCAGGATCTTCTCCATAGTTAGTATGCACCCACAGCTATTGTCACATTATGTTACTTAGTTGTCAATAGACCCTACATAGCAATTCATATTAGTCATGTTAACCATAATACTATAACAGTTTGTGTGGAGAAAACCTACTGTTACGCAAATGTAGCCATTATGGATGCTGGTGTGACATGAATTGATTGATTCTGCTTGTTGAATTAATTAGCAGACGAAGCAGCTGAACAAGTACTGCAGATTATTATTTAATAACTGACATATAATTAAATTCATGGGAACTGTGTTTACCAATGAACAGCATAAGCAAGAAATTGATGCCCTCTCCTGGTGTGATTCTAACACTGCAAAAGCCAGCTAAAAAGAGAAGGTTTTTCCCCAAACTCACTTACTCCATGATGATTGGTCCTAACAAAATCAACATATGTGCTGCTTTTACAGTAAAACTTGAATCTCTGAGATAAATAGTTTAAAGTCAAATCAACAAACATCTGACCTGTATTATCACTTAGTGCAGGCACTGCAGTTGTCAGCTGTAACATGATAATGATATGGGTTTATTAATAGTTATAAAAGTGGCCAAGCCAATGCAAACAGCTTTTTATTTTCCTCAGTGACATAACTATTAGACTGAATGAGTCTTGTAAGGTTTTCTTCCAAGGTTTTGAAAATGTGCATGTGACTGCCTGTCAATTTGGGACTTTGCAAAAAAAAAAAAAAAAAAAAAAAAAAAAAAAGCCTTTATATGTAACAAATTCCATTTGTTGACCAAAAGCAGTTCTGGAAAACCCTCTTTAACTCCCCCTTGTACTGTACTCGGATAGACGTCATTACAGGAAAGTGAGCGTTATCAGTCCCCAACATTACCAGGCATTTCCTGAGAACAGATGAGTCTCTCAGCTGTGGTGTCCATGCATTGAATCACCACTTACAGTAAGAAAAACCCCCAGTTGACCGAAATACAAATAGACAGTGGGTCATGCAACCGCCGGCCAGTGTTTCGTAGTGACATGACATAGGATGCAGACTCACATTCAGAACTGTTTGTCTGATCATTACAAAGAATCTAAACAAACATATTAAGAATCAGTTTTAGAAATGTATAATTCTTGCATTTCTGAAATTAATATGATCTTAAACTTTATATTTTCATTTTATGATACATCTTCAATAAATACTGTGAAATTCATTGTAATGTTTTTACAACCTGACAGTCAAACTGTTTACTGACTGTATAAAGCTGTATTATTTTAGATGCATTGCATAACTGTGTATTCCTTGTCCATTTCATAGGTAATGCGTCATTTCCAAAGCTATAACCTAACTGTCATGTGCAAGCTGACAGAGACAAATAAAACAATATGACATGCAACCAAAACATGTGGTACACAATATGGATGTGGTAATGGAAATCCCATAAACGTTTTTCTTTTTTCTGTGCAGTTACTTTTCTCATTTAGTTTCTGTTTTGCCTTTGCAGAACAAATAACTTGCCAGCCCCTACGCGCACACACACACACACACACACACACACACACACACAAACACACACACACACGCTCATGTCCTCGTAAACCTAAGAGTGTACTCCACACACACTCCTTTCTCAAGGCCATGTGCACAGGCGCAAGTACATGCAAGCCTTGATCTACGCACTTAGGAAGTTTTCCTTTACTTGCATTGTACTGACTCATGACTTGATCTTGTCACTTGACTGTTGTTGTAAATGGTTTATTACACAAGAAACCTCACGAACTTTATGTGCGCATAAAGCTGCACTTGACTTCTGGTTTGGAAGCAGAAACTAAAATAAGTGGGTTTTTTCATTCTGTACGCCAGCATTCCCTGACCTTTTCCATCACTATCTGCTTTTACAAAATCCCATTCACAGCACACACACCTATGTTCATTTAAAGTCAAACATTGCAAAGGTTCACACACATCCAACTGTGTTTATTATGTAGCTTGCAAACACAGAATAACCTAGTTTTAGTATGTATTTAAAAAGGGACTGACCATCATGCAAATAGCTGCCGGTCGACTGCAGAGGTGGAAACTAACTAAGTAAAAGTATTGCACTGCACAATTATGAGGTACTTTTACTTTACTTGAGTATATCCGTTTTCTACTACTCATTTATCTGACATGCTGTTGTTACTAGTTACTTTTCAGAATAAGATTTTACATTTTACAGTATAATGTGACCCCATAAAAAAAGCTGTTGGCAGTTCCGCCAAAGAGTGATTTATCCTTTCAACTTCTCAGATGGTTTCATCAAAGTAACTGTCACAAAAAAAGAACAAAGACTAGTAAAAGTCCAAAGAAACTTTACACAAATTTGTGTAGCAGTTCTTTCTTCTGTCCAACCCTATCAATCATCTCATTATGCCTCAGATTTATGTGGTGACCCTTTGGAAGGGGGTTGACTCCTAGACTGAGAACAATTGTAATAAAATAAATTAACTATAGCTCCACCAGCTACAACAGTAAAATGCTGCTTTCACATTAATGCAGGGACCATTTTTCTAAAGGACATTTGATTATTATAATATGTTGATAATACTTATGTACTTTTCCTTGAGTATGATTTTGAGAGCAGGGCTTTTACTTCTTATGGAATATTTGTACATCGTGGTAAAGTACTTCTTCCACCACTGGTCAGCTGTTTAAGTCTTTCTGTGCTTTTTGCTTTTTATAAGCCAGTTACAAGTTACTAACCCTAACAAGTCTATTGTTTTCAGTGGCAGGCAAACTATCCATAATTTTCTTACAGGGAGGATCCCAAGTATATGTACACACTACATACTGTACATATGCAGGACACTAACAAACAGACAAGCTGGAAAGAGTTCAATGACATCTGTGAACTTTTAGCTTAGCTTTCAGTTTTTACCCACTTCCCAGTGTCTTTATGGTGTGAAGAGTTGTCATGACACAAAAACCTTGTGACAGTCAGAGACACAACAGGCTGGTGAAAGCGTGAGAATTACTGCATAACTGCTGTAGAAAATGAGTGGAATGTCTTAGTTAGACATACAGTATGTAAAAAGAGTTTGAAGAATCATTTTCAGATGTGAAAGTAATTCAACTATTTTTGAAACTGAATTGAGACTCTTTTTTTTTTAATTTAATTGCTAAATAACATTTAAATTCATGTGCCCGACAATCACAGATGGGGAACATATGCAAAACAAATCAAACTTTTACAGGCAAGTTGGAAACAGGATGTGTGTAAAGACTGCACGGAAGTCTTAAATAACAGTCAATGGAAACAGTCATGAATCATATCAAATGTAGGGAAAGGTTTGATTTATCAGAAATGTGAACGTGGTTGTTTGTGTGTATGATGTACATAATACAGATATTACAGATTGGCAGGCTAATAGTATTTCACCAAATACTACTACTACTTCTATTTTCACAAACTTTTGCCACATAATTAAAAATTTGTTTGAGGCAAACAATTGCCAAACCTCAACCTATTTGTGGGAACCTTATCAGTTTGTCTCCATCTCAGATTAAACAAAGTCAATAACACATTAGTCAGATGTGGTGGTGCCTTCTAAAGAAGGAAACACTGTTTCAAATAAACACTTGATCATTCAGGTAAATCGCTCAAACAAACTTTCAATGAGTGGCTGTTCGCATGAGTGCCACCCACATTTCAAAGAAATTAAAACACCTCCACCACATTCTTACATATTTTCCAGTTTGGCATAATTTAGACAGTAAGGTTTCAACTGCAACAGGTGGGTGAAGGCACAGGTTAGCAGATACATGGTCCTGTATGTCTGTTTTTGTTTTGTTCTTTCAAAAGGAATCACTGTCACTATGTGACTGGAATCAGGGCAGTGGAGGGAACACAAAATCCCAACAGTGGTTTTTCACACGAAGGCATCACATTAACAAACACATAGCCTGCGTTCCGTCTTTGTGTGACTATCTAAGCAACAGACTGCTGAGTAACTGATCAGCAATTCGTCATTTTGCTGACGCTGGAAAATACATCTCCTAAAAGAATTGCATCATGAGAACTTCTCATAATGTATAAAGCCCTCATTCCCTATTTCAGTGATTGACACTCACTCTTTTTCTCTGTGACTTTATGAGCTGCTGACAGCCACATGACTGGACATACCGCAAGTCATAACTGTACACAACTATATAAGAACGGCTCTTTGCCACAGCCCTGCATCACCTACAGCTAGTTACAGCTCAGATTTCACTACATCGACATCGGGGCAGGTAAGCAGCTGCAGCACAGATAGAGACACACACACACACACATGCACACGCACACGCACACGCCCAAACACACACACACACACACACACACACACACACACACACACACGCCCAAACAAACAAGATGAGCACACACACTTCCTGTTGTGCAGGTGCACTAATGCAAAGAAGAAATAGAGACTCATAAAGATGAGAAAGGGTTGTTGGGGGGTAGACAGTAGATTCAAAGGAACCAGGAAACAAAGCTGATGCTGTGGTAGTGTACATGAAACAACCAACGTCAGGAAAAAAAACGTTTCTGAAACCAAGCTGAAGTGAAAGAGTTTAGTCACAACCTGTATTGTTTCCTGCAAGTCACAAGGGATCTCTTTGCCTTTGCTGGTTGTGTCTCAGTCAGGATGAAGGTGCTGTTGTTTGCTGCTGCTGTTCTGGCCGTGGCCAGCTGTGCTAGCATCTCCCTGGAAGACCTGGAGTTCCACGCCTGGAAACTCAAGTTTGGTGAGGCAGTGGAGATTCTTGTCTGACTGTTTTCTTTTATTATGGTCTTTTATCTTGTACAGCAGATATTGTGTGGTTGTCTGTAAAGATATTATCTATTGGGCCTCAATTTGGAGAGAAATATGTTCTCCTTTACACATAACCACACATTTAAATGTCAAAAGTGATTTGTAATATGCCTACATGTTCAGACGCTTACAGTTTGTCAGCTAATAAAAGCAAAACTCTTAAATGGAAAAGTATTTAACTGATTCATAATCTATCACTGACCTTTTTTCTCTGTTCTCTACCTGAATATTTCCGTCTCTAACTGGCAGGAAGGTCCTACCACTCTCCATCAGAGGAGGCTCAACGCAAGCAAATCTGGCTCAACAACCGCAGACTAGTACTAGTACACAATATTATGGCCGACCAGGGCATCAAGTCCTATCGCCTTGGCATGACCTACTTTGCTGACATGGTACGTACAAAAAAAAAAACAAACAAAAAAAAACAACAAAAAAAAGAAAACAGATATGTGGCTGTTTCTGCCATGATTTCGCCTTGACCTTTCACCACTTGTTGAATTTATGGACTAAATGCCACCAGAGTCGTTTGGTTGCTGGCAGCTTGTAAAGAGAGAAGGGGGCATTTTGGATGAAGACCCTATTAAGTGACGCTCTGAATTTTCTCCCTCCTCACTAGGATAATGAAGAGTACAAACGCCTGATTTCCCAAGGCTGCCTGGGCATCTTCAACGCGTCTATGCCTCGCCATGGCTCTGCCTTCCTCCTGTTGCCTGAAGTCACTGACCTGCCAAGCTCTGTTGACTGGAGGGACAAGGGATACGTCACTGATGTCAAGGATCAGAAGCAGTGTGGCTCCTGCTGGGCTTTCAGCACAGTATGTAAAACTTCACGCTGTTTCAGTAATACAGGCTTCATGCACTTTGAACAAATGTTTTCTGGTAACAAATCCATTCATTCCTCTTCCAGACTGGCTCTCTGGAGGGTCAGAACTTCAGGAAGACAGGGAAGCTGGTGTCCCTGAGTGAGCAGCAGCTGGTTGACTGCTCTGGTGACTATGGCAACATGGGCTGCATGGGCGGCTTGATGGACAACGCCTTCCGGTACATCAAAGCCAACGGAGGTATTGATACAGAGGACTCCTACCCTTATGAAGCTGAGGTAAAGTCATAATTTCTAAATACAGCTACTGCATACAATCTTAAAACAACTATCTGACATTATCATGCTGAAAAAAACTGAGTTGGAACAAGTTTGTGTTGATTGAATATGAATCTTATATGTGGGTCCTGCGGTATACTGCCATCTTGTGGACACAATGTATTGTACAACTAAACCCAGACCTTCAGTACAAAGCCAATAACCTCACTATAAACTTAAACCTAAGAAGAAGTAAATCTTTTGAGAATATAGCACTTCAAAAATGTCCTGTTCTTTGATTTACACTCATGATGGTAAATCCTTTGGTAAATAACAAAATATCCTCTCTGAATTAGGATGGGGAGTGCCGTTTCAACCCTGCTACTATTGGTGCCAAATGCACAGGCTACGTTGATGTGAAACAAGGTGATGAAGATGCCCTGAAGGAGGCTGTGGCAACCATCGGACCTGTGTCTGTGGGCATTGATGCTTCTCAATCGTCCTTCCAGCTCTACGAATCAGGTAAACAGTCTTAAGCACTATGTTGTTTCTGCCAGATAATATCCTCAAACACTAGAGGAAATTAGAAATACACTTCTTTTTTAACATAGCCATGTGTCTGTCTAATCTGTGTGTGTGTGTGTGTGTGTGTGTGTGTATGTGTGTGTGTGTGTTTCTAGGAGTGTATGATGAACCAGAGTGCAGCAGCACAGAGTTGGACCATGGTGTATTGGCTGTGGGATACGGCAGTGAGAACGGTCAGGACTACTGGCTGGTCAAGAACAGGTAAATACCCATAGAGTTTAAATAGTGGGCTGCTCTCCTGCTAACAGTCAGTGAGCAGTGTTAACAGCCGACACAGCGAGCTAAGTCAAGACACCTTATTTATAGCTGCATAAATGAAGTGAAATCCGCCAGGATGTTGTCAGCTTCTAAAATTCTCATGTCATTAGTAGTTATTACAATCGTGTCACTTCTGTTAGAATACAGGACATGTTTTCTCTAAATGCTGCTGTAGTTTCTGTGGAGACAGTGATTCTGTTTTGTATACAGCAGCAGAATACAGTTGGTAATATATGTGTTTCTGTAGCTGGGGTCTACAGTGGGGCGACAAAGGCTACATCATGATGACCAGGAACAAACACAACCAGTGTGGCATTGCTACTGCAGCCAGCTACCCCCTGGTCTGAGCAGGTGAGAACAAACTCCTGACAGTGTGTGTGTATATGTGTGTGTGTGTTTATTGTCCATTAACTGGTTGTTCTTCCTGATTATCTCATTTCCAGGCCCAGGACTTTCCTCAGTGAGGAGGAGAACAGTGACACATAATTTACTTTAATTTCGTAAAGAAACTGAGTTATGGAACAAAATGTTCTATTGTTGTTGGGTGCGAGTGAGTGGGGTGTAATCTGGCAGTCTCTCTGTGCCCTGGTGCACTTTTAATATCATAATTTTTTATGACGATTGTAAATAAATGTAAAGAAATGAAATGTTTTACACTAAGAAATAAAACATTTACTCTATGCGTTTGTTATTATGTTGCTTTTAATTGTTCACTTTATCTTACTGTGGCTCTGCTAATGTTCTGTGGCTTCTAAATATTGTTCTTTAGTCATTAAAGTTTGTTTCCATGACACAGAAGTGAGGCTGCTAAACATACAACAATAATAAATATGTTAATATGTTACTTATACTTGTTAAAGACATGTCGGCTCGAGGTGCAAGTCAACACTTTTTAACTCATTTACTCAGAGTCTCTCAGCCTCATTTGAGATCTCATGACCTCTTCTGTAACAATTACAGTTGTTCATGTGCCATGTGACTGATATGGCTCAATTCTATTTGTAAGGGTGTGTGATCAGCAAGTGAATAATATGTGTTATTATTTATGTACACTCTGTTGCTTTAGACAAATATAATGTAGATGTATTAATGAGAAATTCAATTTATTTGTTTATACTAAAAACATTATCACAGCACAGGTAGTACTGGTGACATTTTTGTAAGCAAAAAGTATATTGCTAAGAAAAATCTCTCTTGGTGCAAATATGCATATATGCAAACCACAACAGGTACTGATGTGGCTTGCTGCTGCAGTATGCAAATGTACAGGATCAGTCTTGCAGCTGGTGCAAGGAAATTATTGTATTAGGTAAAAAAAAAGAAAAAAGAAAGGCTAAAAAGTCCAAAAAGTCCAAGTCAACATAAACTGTGTGAGGAGATTAAAGTGTCTCCCATCATTGACTCATTTTCCAAATTGTATATTTGCATGATTTATAAAAATTATATAAATTTCAATCTCATCAAGAATCTCAGTGTACATGAACTTCAATCAATTCTTATGTGTTTAACAATATACAGTATTGTGCTCTGTGCAGAAATATATAAAAAGGGCTTTTAACCTTACCAATATACTTTATTCATCATTTTTCAGATGTGTGCATCAAGTTGGGTGAGAACTTGAGAACTTGCTTGAGGACAAGTTAAACATTTATAGATAAAATGTTTT